ACTTAAGATTTCACATGATTCCTTCCAAATCTAAATATCTTAAGAAATCTCAAATCTCAAAAAGTCTCAAAATGTCACTAGAAATCCCAAATGAATAATTTCCAAAAAAAATAAAATAAAATAAGATAAAAAAAATCCTAGACGAATACACCCCTCAAAGTGTATGAGAAGTTAAAAAAAAAAGGCATTATCACGTTAAATGAAACAGTTACCAAATAAACCTCAATCTACCTAAGAGCATCTTCAGTGCTCCACCCATCACATTGAAAAATTGATGCCACACGACATAATATAATTGACAATGTCTAATGCATGTCAGATGAGTGTACTTGACATTGGCGTAAAATTTGTGTGCAACTTCAATGCACTTATTTTGGAATTCAATGTCTTGACCATTTAAAATTAAATTTAATTGAATGAACTAATTTTTTTCCTTATATTCACTAACTAACTTTGAAATGGTAGATTTTGTTTCAGCTCTTGAACATGAAAATTGGAAAAACTCAGCAAATTTGTTTCATTTTTAACAATCTATCTACTATATAATTAGGCAACACACTTGCCATTTTCAGAAAGTTTTATGTGGTTACAACACTCTTACTATTTTGGAAAATCTTCACATTCTTTGACATGTGTTCATATTTTTATTAATATTAATTACCTCAATTAATATTTATTTAGTTTATCGATAACCAATAAAGACCTATTATTTAATTATTTGACATGTGTTCATCAATTTTGATTCATTTTTTAATATAAACAATTAAAATTACGAGACGCTTGTACTTAACAGGTAATTTTATAAAATTTTTAGTACAAACAATTAAAAGTTTTATGTGGGTCTCACGTTTTCTTAAGATTTCTGCTGAGTCACGCTGTTATGGAGACTTTCTACCTCCACACAGTGGGTGAGAAAGTGGTCATGCCACGTCAAAAAAAATATGGGCCAAGACAGTGAGCATTGGAGAAAAAAAAAAGACGATGTTTAAAATACTTATGTGGCACATATTTTTTGGACTCCACAGTCCCGCACTGAAGATGCTCTAAGACAACGTAGTGCAGCTTAGTGGTGAGACGCTTCCCCTATGACCTATAAATCATGGGTTCGAGTCATCAAGGAGGGGGAGTGAGAACGCTATTGATCATTTTTGAAGAAAAAAAGTCAATCTATTAGTGTATATGCAAGAATTTAATACTAGTGTGTACCCCGTGCGATGCACGGAAACAATATTAAATCTACAATATTATAAATAGACCTCGAGTTTGAGTTACTAAGTGGAAACTACTATTGATTCTATTTAAAAACAATAACAACAACATACCCAGTATATTTCCAACAGGTTGGGGTCTGGTGGGTCAATTGTACGCATACTTTACCCTTGTAATTATACAAGGAGGCTGTTTCCGTAGCGACCCAAGGTGCATTGCTCCGTTTGATATATATATATATTTTCTAGAAACTTCACTAACAGAAGAAGCACTAGAATTTAATTGAGCCATTTTGATCTAGTCCATTATTAGTACTATGCCAGGAGAATTGTCAACAATGACTCTTCCAGCACCATTTGCAATAATTATATTGCAAATTAAAGAATAATTATAAATTAAAGATGAAGATAAACAATAATTATAAATTAAAAATTCGGGATCAAACAATGTAAAATTATTTTGTATAAGAGAAAATAAAATTTGCATTATTTTGTAAGAGAATATAAAATTTGGATTTTAATATTAAAACACCTAAAATGTTATATTAGTATATGTAAAAAGTATTCAAAATTTTCTATATTATTTTTGCAAGATGTGTTATATTAGTATATGTAAAGGTACTCAAAATTTTCTATATTATTTTTGCAAGATGTGAAGTCACCTACAACTTTTCTAAACAATTTTAGAAGGAAAATATATCTAAAAACATTTGAATTTAACATTGTATAAAAAAGATTTTTCTAGATTGTTTTGTAGAGAAAACATGTCTACAAATATTTAAATTTAACATCAATTATCTATATGTGTGTGTATATATATATGTATATATAGACGAATATGTAAAAAAAATGTCTAAACAATTTTTTTAAAATATCTAAAATATTATAAGCTTAATTTAATAAAGACATTCAGATGATACCGAATTGGTGTTACTTCCATCTAACAAAATTTGATTACACACCATTTCAAAATTATTTAAGGGATGAGATTTTGAGTACCATAAAAACAGGTAGAAATACAAATATTTATTGTCACCGGCGGTTTTGAGTACAAAAAACAGGAAAAAGAAAAACAGATATATATTGTCACCGGGCGGTTTTGAGTACCAAAAAAACAGGAAAAAGAAAAACAGATATATTCTGTCACCTGCGGTTTTTGAGTATAAAAAAAAAGAGGAAAAAGAAAAACAGATATATACACAACCGATTTTTTTTGCCTATTCAAAATTGACCAACAATTACTATATATAGAATACATTTAATGATATTGGCGGGAAAAACTTGCTAAATTTGTAAAATGGTTATTCTTTTTATATAATGATAGATATATGCAAATATCCGTTAGTTTCTATATGTTTGTAATAATTAAATTATTATATTAGTGTATATGCAATTTATTATGTTTAAGTTAGTTAATAGAGTAATTTTCTCAACGTATTTTGTATAAACAAATGTATAACCCAATACAGATTGACAAATTGTTCCCGAGGACTTAAAATATTTTCTAAAAATGTACTAAAAAATATTTTTGTAAAAACGAACGGGTACCCCATCACAAATTGACATATAGATCATAGAGCATCTCGCCATCTCCAATGCTCAAATGTTGTTGTGGTAAGTTACATTCCACATCAATATATTTAACAATGTCATAACTTTTCATACTCCAATGTACAATGTCATAACTTTTCATACTCCAATGTACAATGTAATCACAAATGCTGTGATGATGTGAACATAATTAATGTTACAATGTAGAGTAGAATGTGGTTCATCCACGTTCTCTGCCACACTCTAGCTAACCAATGAAGAGAGAAGAGAATTAATCTTGCCAATTTTAAACTATTTAATTATTTAATTAATTTTCTTATTACATATTATAAAATTTTATTTTTAGTAAGTAGATAATATTGTAGTTAGACTACATTGTGCATTGGAGATAAATTTTTAATTCATAGTTGTAAACTTGACATTTTTCTTACATGGTTCACAATACATTTAATTTATTGACATTTGTCAAAATTTATTCTATAACAACATTATAACATTGGAGATGCTCATGATATGAAATTGAAAGAATACTTACAGATAGAATCAAAATAATGTTTCAATCTCATGATGACAAAATATTGAATACAAGGGGTAAGAATAATTAAAATGCATTGAAAATCTAAAACAAGTAAAAAGAGAGAAAAAAAAAGGGAAAATTACACTTTATCTACCGCACTATTCACATTTTTACACTTTGCACACTCAACTTTTTTCGGTGACACTTTACCCCTTGAACTTCAAATATTCTTGCACTTAACGACTTCTGGCCACCGAAGATGCAAAATCAGGGGCAAAGTGTAAAAACACGAATAGTTAGGTAGACAAAGTGTAATTTTACACCTTAGGAGACACATCAAATTAGTCTTCACGAGTACACTTTGCCCACCGAACTATTCCCGTTTTTACACTTTGCCCTTGATTTTGCATCTCCGGTGGCCGGAAGTCGTTAAGTGCAAGAATATGTGAAGTTCAAGGGATAAAGTGTCACCGGAAAAAGTTGAGTGGGCAAAGTGTTAAAACGAGAATAGTTTGGTAGACAAAGTATAATTTTCCAAAAAAAAAAATTGGATATAAGAAACAAACCTAACTGCAACTATAACTGGGGTCCGGATGGAGTACTTTCATCACAATTAACACAACTGAGCCAACGAAAAACAAAAACCATCCCAAGGAGACAAAAAAAGATGAGCATGTACTATCTCCAGTAAGCCCTCCGAATAATTTCTTACCATTTACCAAAATAACTCAAGTGTCTTTTCAAGAATGTGCAAAACCATTTGATCCTTCACACAAAGTGAAAACCCACTAAACAAAACAAGAAATAAATAAAAAAAAAATACCGTCTTTTGTTTCTCGAAAACTAAAATATTTCCCACGTTTCGCAGCCGAGCATAGGGCGTGGACGTTTCTTAATCTGCGGGCCCACAACCAATGGACATTCTCCGAGATGAGCTGGCAAAATGGGCAGGGCACTCGTGTTGTTAATGTCTGAGGCAATATCTGACAGCATGGCACGGCAGTCGATTGCTAGCTCCGAGAGCTCTTGGCTGGCGGCCTCGAGACTCGTGCTGCCAGCTGGCACCCCATCCTCGAGAGCCTTGCAAGCTTTGTCGAGTATCGATTGCAGGTACTTGCCTTGTGCTTCTATCCGGATCTCTAGGTGGCGTTGGACCTGGCTTGTGTATCATAAAAACAGAAAATTAAGCGTGCTTATATACAAATATAATGAGTTTTTTTTGGTTAATCAGAATTATTTTGTGAAAAAGTTGGTATGATTACTTGTTAGTGGGATTTTGAAGTTATATTAAAATAATATTTAAAATAAAATAATTAAAGTTGATTTGATGTAAAAGTAGGAGAGAGATTGTGTGAATTGATGGTTAGTTCAAATTATATGCGTGGATGGGATGTATAAGAATGATTGTTTAGTGTTATTTAATTATATTAATAATATTGAAGATAGTGGAGTTGGGTTAAAGTTGAGTTAGTTGTCAGTATGAATTGAATAAATTGAAAAAAAATTATAAACGAACACACCGTAAATTTCACGACTCTAGTAAATTATTTCCAATCTAACTCCTCGAACAATATTTTTGGAGTCAATAAATTATGCTTTGTCTTCTTCATGAGAACAAGAAGAGTTGTGGGTGTTGTAGCAAGTCACCATGTGATGCTTTAGAGAAAACCATAATTTCATTCCTACTAATTATAAAAAACTCACAAATGATGGCAAAAGAGATTAAAATGTGTAATCAGCATCTGGATAGATAAAGTTCGAACCTCCAACTGTTCATGCAGTCTACGCTGAACTTCCATCTGCACCCGCAGAGCCTCAGTTACCTGGAGACCACTGTTAAAAAATGGAAAATGTAGGTAAATAAATATGTGCAGAACATGTTTTTGTAATAATGAAAACACTATGGGATTGAGTATCACTTACTCAGATATATCTTGTGCCGTCATCTTTGATGAAGCTGATATAGATGATGAATCTGTGTCTTGACTCTCGGCAACACAAGAAGCTGTTAGCAAGAAGTCAATATATTAGCTATTTGTTGGCAGTCTAAGTCTAACCTGTTTTCTCATTTCAGAAATTAAGTGGACATGAGAAAATTGCAATATTCCAAACAAACCTATTGAACCAGAGAAAATTTCCTAATCACAGAAGTTGAAATGACTGTATTTATTATATTTACAAGAAATCTGCCCATACCATCTTTTGAGTTGTCAGTCAACTCCTTGTTTGCTTGCTTCCCCATACGGTATTTCTGCAAAACAAATTCACAATGATATTCGCCGCTTGAATGTCAAAAGTGCCGTGGAAAATATTTCATTTTCTCAATCTCACAGAAAAATGTAGCTGCAGTATACATTGTTAAATGTTTACTTATACAATACTGTTAGCCATATACCTGAAGATGAGACTTCAAATGGTACAAAGTCAGGCCTTTTACTCCCATTGTCCTTAAGATAGTTTTTGGTGTCGCTTCTGACAGATGAGGAATGTTTTATCTCGTTAGGCCAATTAAATGACCAAAATTGTAAAGTCTGAATAACTTACAGTCACAAAATATTGCAAAAGTGCACTCAGGATGTTGGACATGAAAACTTTATTTAACTTTGCAAATGCAAGGAAAAAAATGGTGATAAAATAGCCGTTTATCTCTATGGAGAAACCGAATGTGGTACTCACCATCCCCTCTTCTTCCAGGTTTGCATACTCAGAAAAGAAAAGGTATAGAAACAATAAGAGCAACTATTTATCTCTATATATTTTTTCGTGAAGAGGGCTGGGTAGAGGTATCAAGTTTGAGTTATATCTTTCAAGTGGAAGTAAGAAAAAACTAAAGCATTGACTGGGCTCACGACTAAATGTGACACAAACAAAACCTAATTATGGATTTATATTGGATTATATACCAAAGCTTTCTGTACGAACGACAAACAGTACTATTTCGGGGATAAAAGAAATGAACTTGATCCCTCGGCTGTAATTTACGTCCAGGTTGAATGTTGGTTTTTATTAATCACTATAAGTTACAAGTTTGTTAGTTTTCTCCAATAATAATGTAAGTCCAAGATGAATGCTGATTCTCATGACTCTTGAATATTAGTTATTCAGCACCAACAGTTCCCTCAGAGTATAACATTTAAATATAAAAGGAGTACCAACAATAGAAACAAATCTTTTAAATAGAGAACACATTTTGAAATCATTAAAGTAGGGCCGATCAAATCTTCTCAAACTGCGAATAGAAAGCCACCCAGCAAACCAAATATGAATTAAATTTTCTATTCCAGAACAGAAAACCAGAAGGTAAAATTCATTTCAAATTCTGAGTAGGAAAATTTCAGTTAGAGAGAGTACTTAATACACCAATCACTAAGCTTAGATGTCTTGTAGATTGAACTACAAAAACGTGAGCAGAAATTATTTATGCAAACCATGTTTAACCAGAAAAATGTATAATTTTTTTGGAGTTCATTAGATGTAATGAAAAAAAAGACCCTGGGAAATAGAAACTTCATATCCAAAAGACTTTTGCTTTTCATCCTACGAATTCTGTTTTGCTTTGAACATCTTCAATTACTTCACACCAACTAACTGTTCGACCTATTTTCTCGCAATAAATAATTAGATTCCACAGCCACATTACAAATTTCATGGAGAAAAAGGGAAATTAGGAAAACTAATCGTCACAGAAGCACCTTCATATCGTGGGTTTCCGTAGATAAATAAAATAAGGCAAGAAAATAGAGAGTTAAGGTAATAATTGTAAAAGGGACCGACTGTCGGGGCCACCGAGGTGCGTAACAGCATCAACAAATCTGTGGTGGAGGTCAGCCGTCCACCGGAGGCGAGGCTTTGGGTCGGAGGTTAGGACAAGGCAGTTCTCGATTGTACTGTCCAACGCCATCTCGTAATCCGCCAAACCCTGTATTGCTAAATCAGAATACAACATTTCCTTATCTCCCTTTTTCTCTCTCTCTCTCTATCTTTCAAGAATATCTGTCAGCATGAAACGGTATCGTTGGAGGAAATCCGGGTTTATGTGGCTTGGGAAGAAAGGATTGGTTTTGAAGCTAAGTGGTGGGGATGGGAAACAGGAACAGGACAGCAAATGTGTCCTTGTTTGTCTGTTAATGTAGTCTGTATTCGTCTTTTTCTATCTAGTAATAATATAAGACGGTATGGTTACATATATATTGATATATACCGTGTGTATGAGACTGAAAGGATAACATGAAGCTGTGGCATGGGCTGGCACTACCATTTTCGATATTCCGTATGGACTACTTTTTGGAGAAGCACATCTACGCGTGATGTTTTCTCCATTCATTACATTTTATATATTGGTTTCGTAGTTGGATTATCTTTGTGTTTTTGTATAGCGCGAATTAATGATACAACACATAAAGATAGCTCGGTTGAACCGATTGTGATTAGCTTGGACTATAGGTCAAAAATAAATTGGGCCGATTGGTTTTGAGGCAATAAGTGTTCAAATAGCTTGAATAACTAAGGAATATCTGTAGCTCGGCATATAGGGAGCTCGGATAACACGTCAATATCTACGAATCGACATATAAAGAGCTCGAATAACATGTTAATATATGTGGCTCGGCATATAAGAAGCTCGGCTAACAAGTCCATGTCTATAGCTCGTCATATAAGTAGCTCAGACAACACGGCAGATACAAACATATTTATATCTCTGACATTGAGGAACTCGACATTCTGTTGCTCGGACATATAAGTAGCTCGGTTAACACGACATCCACTATACTACAGCAGGCTAAACCATAGCAAGCAGAGCACCTACTAAACTACACACCTAAAAAAGAAACAATCGAGAATACAAGCTAAAGAGTGAATGTCCAAATAAAGAGGTACATAGCATTAGTACAAGATACATGAAAGTTAGATGGAGCAAGAGCAGCTGCTGGAGAGGCAATGGTGCAGGAGAAGCCATGGAATCCCTTAGCCTGAGCCAATTCCAGACTCCACCTGAGAGCATGAAGGTCTACTTCCTCCTGGGATGGAGAACTATCCAATGAAGCTGAGAAATAATCTGTTTCTACTCCATCTAACACCACCAAGCAGCTCAACCTTGAACCAACAACGAAACCCACTTGAGCACTGACAACCAGAGAAAGTTTTCCTACTCTGGATGAGTCAGGGAGACCTTGTCAAGCAGAGTTACTAAGAGGCACTACCTCCATTTCCGTAGAGTTATCAAGTACAAAGGAAAATTCAAACCAATCCTCTTAAACCCTCTTCACCTCTGATAACCAAGTTTTATTAAAAATCCATGAGTTGCAAGTTCTCCATAGCCACCATATTATATAACTAGAAATGCTGATTCTATCTATTAACTCCCCTTCATTCCACCTGAGCATGTAACGCCCCGTTTTATTTTAAAGAGTTTACCGAATTTATTTATAAAAATCAGAGTTAATTTTTCGCAAAATTATTAACGGTCGCTACTTACTATCAACAACCAATGAACAAATACAAACAAACATATTGAAACTACTCATGCATAAACTAACCGTTATAAAACCCAAATATTCATAAGTCTCAAAATCATCTAAACATATTCATGATGTTTCAAGGGGAAGCATAAATAAGTAAAAATAAAAACAAGTAGTTCAACATAGATAATCAAAGGTGGAAGCTAAAGACACATCATGTAACGCCCCACTTTGATTTTAAAGAAATTCTGGACTTTCAAAAAAATCAACATAAATTTTTCAAAATTTATTTCAAACATTTGTGGCGTTACTCATATATTTCAAATTACTTCAACGACATAACATCAATTTCATAACATAAATCATCTAACTCCCAAAACGGGTTTCATAAATCCATAAATCATCAATTTGCCCAAATCGGGTTCCCCAAACAAAACTCAAGTGGCAAGACATAACAATGTCAACGGGGCATCCCCCAATAGTATCTCAATACTTCAATAAATTCTTAGAGTTCGAAAATTCCTAAATCATAAATAATCATAAGTATAGAGGAAGCAAAATCAAATAATAACCGGTCTCATAGACCGACTACCACTCGCTCTACTACGCCATCGTACCCGCCTTGCTTAACCTGAAACGTTAATTTCAGGTGGGGATGAGCACAATTGGAAATCGTAGTGCTCACCACTATGCAATAAACATTTTCATAACATAAACAGTAAGAGAAATAATATGATCACAATCTTGACCTAAAAAGGAAAACACAATCATACTTAGTCGAACTTGATTCGACGAAGTTGTTCGTGAAGTCCTGTGGACGTTGGAACACTTAGACTTAGACTCAACCAACTAAACATGAAAGTTCACACAATTTCATATAAAGATCTTCCAAACAAGTCTCAAAAACAACGAGTGAACCGGTTTATAGCTTTAACACAAAAACTACATTTTCGAAATAAAAGCCGATAATTGACATAATTAGGTTGGTCAGGTTACCGAATGAGTTAGGCTCTGAAATTTTAACCAAAAACTCACCTCCTGGAACGTAGTAAAACCACCAAGTCTCAGCCCCAAACTCAAAAGACACGATTTTATAAAATTCAAACAAGTTAACAGCAAAAACAAGCACAAATTAAACACCAGACATAATGAAAGATTCAACCTCTGAAATTTTTACACAACATACCACATCATATGCATATCAACATATAAACATTCCAGCTCTGAATATTTAACATGCGAATTTTAAAAATTCTAACAAAAATCTGCAGCTTTCGAATTTTCATAAAAATTGAACCAACATGGACTTTAAGAATTCTGATATTTTAACAGCATGAAATACATCACAGAAAAAGCATTTCAACCAAAAATCAGCATTTTACAGCATCAGATCAATTTATCATAATTAAAATAATTTTCGGTAGAATACTTAAATAAATTATTTACCCTAGAAATATTAGTCCAAAAATTCTGAAAATTTTACACCACGTATAAACATGATAGAAGCATAACATACCTAAATTTCAGCTAGGTTGAAGCACGAATCCATTTATTATGCAATTAACACGGTTCTGCACAGAAATCACTTCAATTAATTAAAATAGTTACAGACCAAATAAAATTATGAAATTTTTACACGAGCTTCATAATACACAGAGGCAATTACACCAAAAAGTTCATTGCAATCGGAGAAGCATACAATTTTTAATGAATTACACACGAAAACAGCAATTTACGAGATCAACAAGTTATAAACGACTCGACAAAACTCGAAAGGGTCCGAGGCCTTACCATAAGGCCAAGAACACGTTGTTCCAATTCCCATAGTGACTTAACAAGTGTATACATGATCTCGTTCGAGTTCGCACGAACCGAAGAGATCGATACATAATTAAATTATTACAAGGCTCTACAATTTATATCAATATCAACATATTGAACACATATAATCATAGGCATATGTATACTTGCAAAGCATGTTCAACACGTCAATTTAAACACACAAATAACGAGAGGGATCAGCCTCGGTACCGTTCTCGGGATTACGTTCGAAAAAACAGAATGGAGGGATCGAACGGAAACACGCGGCGGCACGTGGAGGAGCAGCGGCTGAGGGACGGCTGCTCGCGGCGGCCTAAATGCGTGACAATGGCGGAGCAACAGCGGTCGGGAGGTGCTGCAACTGGTGGTTCGTGGCTGCTAGGGATCGCTGCAGGGATGATTCGCGATGAGCTGCTGCACGAAAGAGGAAGTCACCGGAGTTGCAGCGACAAGTTCGCGACTTGCTGTATCGCGAAGGGAGGGGAGTTCACGGCGGAGGGCGGCTCGCGGCGACGTCTGCGCACGAACAAGAAGATCGCCGGAGTCGCTGCACGTGGCCGGGGTTGCTGAAGTCGCGGCGGGAAGAGGGCTTGCAGATGAGTCGCGGACTGAGGGGGAACCCGCGGGGATGATGATGGCGCTTTGCAGAGGAATGGAGAGGAGAAGGATGAGATCGATTAGGATGTTGTGGTTTAAACCTTTAGACATTCTACCAGCTTCAAAAAAGTTCTTACTAGCAATGCAAAAGTGATATTTAATGACAAACCAAGATTTTTGAAAGAAAATTGTTGTCATGCCATCAGCAACAGGAGCCTTGCATTGATCCATGTCCATAGGAATCTTTCTTTTCGTGGTACACCCAATGTTACTTGCTTTCAATTTTATCTTTTTTTTTTTCTCGTCCTGGAGGATGGAGGAATTAGGAGAATCCTCAACCTGTGAATATATATATCAAATCTCGTAACGGGTAAAAGCATAATTTGTCTACCTATAGGTTTTAGCAGAAAGAGAACCAGAGCAAACATAGTACATAATACAAGTCAAATAGATAAATGAAAAAAAAAAAAACAAATGTCGACAACTGAGCTTACAGGTTCCCAATAATACTATGCGCCACTAACGTGGGGTAAATCTAAAACTAAAACTAAGGGTCTAATGTGACGAAATAGAACATAAGGATAGTTAAGCTAATCTATCAGTATAAGCGTAAGTAGTCAGAACGGGGTGGTGGAAGCTTGGAATGTGTCTCTCTCGGGGACTATAGTACCGATATCGGCTATGAAGTCAGTCGGTTGGTTCCCCTAATGGAATATGTGCGTGAGCCAGTACTGGACCAGCTTTAGTGTGCGTCTCATATGCATGAGTGGGTGCTGAGTCTGCCACAACCCTTGGTGACCTAATGTTAGGAGGGTGACAACGGCAACTGCATCCAGTTATATCTAGATGTGAGTGGAGATGTTTGTACACTAATCTGGAGTGCCTATTTTTGCTACTAATTAGATCGATTTGTGTTCAACCTACTTTTGCTCGTTTGTTATATATATTTAGACCAACTTATCAACTTCTGTTCCATTTAATCATCTGTTATACCTTCAATTTTAAAAAATGTAAAAAAATTTAAATATATTTTTACCAGCTTTAGATCTATTATTCTTTTATTGGGAGTAATACTTAATTTGCCCATATATATGGATATGTTTCAGTGAGGACGGTTTTCACATTGTAACCATAACTTCCAATAGTCAAACGATTAAAAAAAACTAAAATTTTACAATAATTAAGTTTATTTTGGATATTATCCCCCACTCCAGCCACCCTTTACCCAAGGCCCTACCTCCCTCTCTCTGTCACTCTCTCTCTTTCTCTCTCTCTCTCTCACACACACACACGCGCGCACACACACACACACATACACACACTAGAAATGGCCACCGCCCAGCCCGCGATCATCTCCGTCAGCAACACGCTCCTCGCTGCAAATCACTCCTACTATGACCCGCCGACGAGTTGAAGACTGTCTCGATCTCCAAGCTCACCTCCGGTAAGAAGGTCGACTTCACCTGTTTGCAAAAACATCTCCTAAGTATCGTGGAGAGCGTCGCTGAGTTCAAGGCAAAAGGGACTGACGCTATCGCATTTGTCTCAATAAAGGCGTGGAAGGATGATCTGAAGATCGTGACAATGTGTTGTTGTTGAGCGACGACAATGACAATTTTACCTGGGCGATCGGTTGCCAGATCAATCTGAGCAATTCGCTGGCGAGCTTAGGTGTTCGATCTATTTAGTGATCTCAGTGGAGGTGTTGATGGGGGTGATGGTTGTGACGACGATGCCGATTGACATGACAATGAGGTAGACGATCGTAAAGTATATTGATTTGTGGTGAGGACAATGTGGTCCTTGCAGCTGAAATCTGACTACGTGAGCCATGAACCGAAAATCTGCAATTTGGATCCTAGGGCTTCCCTATGAAAAATTGATAAATCTTAAGGACTTAGCTGCAATTTTAGAAATTTTAATATATTACAATTTAATCACGAGTCAAATTTGTGATATAAAATTTAATAAATGCACAATAATGATAAGTAAAACTATAAAATATTGCGTGTGGATATGCACATTAAAAATACCGTTATATTTTTACGAAATTATAGAATTACCACCGCACACATTTAAAAGTTTACGAACTTACCAAAATATCTTCGCGCTACTGTATGCAAAATAGTATTCAACAAAATGCACATTAGTGCCTTTGAAGGAAGAACGTAATAATGTATTTTGCGCAATGACGAAATGCCCCTGCGTAAAAAATAAAAAATACTCATAATTACATAAATGTATCGCCCATTTGACCAGGCGGAACAAAATAAAAAAGATGAAATTCCAATAAAAAATTCCAGGGGAATATATTTCAATGGAATTTCAACAGCCAACCAATGGATATTCTAATGTTATTATTTTCATATTAATTTTCTAATATATTCCAACGAAATATTTCGATGGAATGCGTTTTCCATTGGAATTTTTGTTGCATTTTGATAATTTCAACGACGATTTTTCTAACGATGGAAATATGGATAGGAATAAAAATTTCAATGGAAATTGTATATTCCAACGAAATTCTTACTGCAATAAACCATTGAAAAAATTACCGTTGAAATCATCAAATTGCAACTAAAGTTTCAATGGAAAACGTATTTCAAAGGAAGCTATATCATTGAAATATCCAATAGAATATATTACCGTTGGAATATCATAATTATTTTGTAATAATTGTTTAGCATTTCGACTTTTACATACACATGCATAAGAAGGAACTCTTGCAAGAAAGAGCAGAAATTGGTAATGATGGATGGAAAATGCTACAAGTACATAATAAATGTGCATAGAGGTAGACATAACACTCATATTACGTGGGGTCTACTTGATTTTTTATTTTTGGTCGGTCCCACTCAATGTAAGTGGTTTTTTTTTTTTTTTATTTTTCAATAAATGTAAGTGTTATGTATACTTCTATGTATAATATTATGTACATGTAGTATTTCTTATGATGAGTGCATGGTTAAATATTTTCTTGAAGTTATATAAAGAAAATAAAAAGAGCACACTAATAACATGATGTTGTCCTTTCTGTTGGATATACATATTCCCCTTAAATGTAAAAGAACTTTTCCATTATTCATCAATCCCTTTGGAGCTACTACCACAACATTAATTCTAGTCTCAATGCTTTTTCCCTCTAGCTGATTAGCCATTCTTGTGCATTAATGTAAGAAAGGCTAGCAAACTGCTGCAACTGTGACTTGCTCTGCCTGTTTGCCCAATCAACTCTCCCGCTTGTGTCCGAACCTGGGCCACGACAACCGGCCTCATCGAAACTCACCGTGCTCCTGAAATAAACATATATTTTTTTTTTTTCATGTACATAGACTAAATTTCATTTTCAATACACTATATTGGTCATTTTTTTTAAAAAATAAAATAAAAAATCTTATCATGTAGGGTGTCATCAAATAGAAAAATGCTACAAGTACATAGTAAACGTACATAGAGGTGTACATAACACTCACACATGGAGTAGGATCGACTTGATTTTTTATTTTTGGTGGGTCCTACTCAATGTGAGTATTATGTACATCTCTATGTACAATATTATGTAGTTATAACATTTTTCCATAAAAAAATGGTCCATTAAGTTGCCACTTTAATCAAAACTAGTACAATAGCCAGCATAGTGTAGTAAAAATGACAACTAAAAATTGTCACTTTTAGTACACTATGTTGGTCATAGTATGAATTTTGATTAAAGTGACAACATACTAGACCATTTTTTAAAATTTTGCCTACATTATCATTCATCATTGTAAGTTGTATAAATCCATGCATGACCAATTCAAAAAAGAAAAAAAAAAAAGGGTAGAAATGTTTTTATGTTGAATTGCCCAATAACAAATATAAAATAGTACGTACATGTCGCCTCCTGCGAACCAAGGGGACCATCCTTGAGGAACAACAATACCGTTCATCATTGTGTTGTAAAATAAGACTCTTGCATAAGGTCTCCAAGGTCTTCCTAGATATGCCTTCCCATCTCCGGTTATCACACAATCCTTAAACACAAATCCATTTGTCTCGGAAGGTGATGTTCTTCCTTGAGCTGTGATGAATCCTGGGCCGTCTAAAACTCCCGCAACTACTGCTATGGTACATCCCTGCAGTTCAACAGTATTAGGTTTACAAAAGTAAATTCACAGAGTGTAATAAAAGCCATGGCTATGTGTCAAGTTTGAGTGTCGAGAGATTCTTATTTTAAATGGAGAAGTTTCAAATAGTATATGTTTCCATATGTTTTCTGGTCAAAACTGAAACTATATTACATGGTTCCAATATGTTGGCAATATATTTTACAAAATCTACCATTTCAAATTGANACATGACCTCTACAAAAAGTTCAAATTCGCTTACATAAAAGGCTATTTATTGAAAATGAAAAAATAAAATAATGTACATAGAAATTTATATTATTTTAGAAACAAATAATATTTAACCGTCGAATAATGTACATTTACATTCAAAAGAATGCTAATTATCCGAGGAGCTATTATTATATATATATATTCAATCATAGTAGGTAAGAGAGTTTGACTATGCGCATCATCATATATATCTATTTTGTGGAGCGGAGCAGTTGTATAAGTTAAAAATGTACAAAATTAAGGCAGATATAATATTACACATTTCATTCCCTTTTTCCAATCTTGTATTCGAGGCAATTATACAAGCGGATATGGAGAATTGTATGCCCTAAAAATAACCCCAAGTGGCAAAACAAAATCAACACAAAATAAACTAATCAATCAAACGGCAATTAAAATGAGAAAATTGACATACTATATATTAATAATGAAATAAAAAAATAATAAGTATCGTACCTGATAAATAGATTGGCCTGAACCAAATATGAAATCAATACCCCCTTGAATTGTACACTGCTCGAAATAATGCCTTCCTTGAACGTCCCAAAGCGTATCTTGAAGCCCCACAAATCCACACCGGTAAAAGGCTGACTTGTCGCCACCTATCCTGGCCGCCACTGCCACTGCAAGTGGGTTGCTCGACTCCTTCAGCGGGTAGTTATAAGAATTCTGAAAAAAAAAACAAATAAATAAATAAAACAAAAATACATATGTTTGTGATGTTGTAACATTAATTAATTGTTTTGGAGTTTGTCTTAACAATGAATGTTATGCTCCTGGCTATGATGTTGTCCGGGACAGAATTAAAAGTGGCGCTCGTGTCAGTTGCATCGTGCGCATTCCAGACGACACTCGTCTTCCGCTTTCCCGCTCCTTGGAGGTATATGAATGGCTTGTTATACGGAATCAAAACTTGTTCTCTACATTTAACAAAAAAAATAAATAAAATAAATTATGATGAGCTAGGAATGTACATTTTTTATATGTATACACTAGAGAAGCATAATGAAACAATAATAATGAGGAATCCTTTTATTTTTAATTTTTTTTATTATTCTAGATCGATATCAATTTTGAGTTTTTATTTTTTTTATTTTTTACCTATAGACGCCTTCTTTGATGCGAATGCAAACCCATTTCTGGTTGTACTCAGGCACTTTGTCGATAGCTGCTTGAATAGTAGTGGTGTTTCCTTCTCCAGATGGATCCACAGAGATTGTGAGGCAAGCCAATTTGATTCTCAGAAGCTTTCCGGGAATTATCGCATTTCCAATTGGAAATATTACAAAAAGAGCTACGACAACACTGATAAACCGCCGAAAAAACATTTTTTCGACGATTTAATTAAATAAATGATATGAATTAATGGTGAAAAGAAGTGAGGTTTATAGGACTGTATATATAAGAGTAATGGAGAATGTTGCAGCCATAGATAGCTTTAATTTGTTATTCACAAGATTAAGGGAATGAATTGTTGGGAGGAAGCAAAAGGAATGGGGTGCAAATAAGAGTGACACAATCTGTTGAATTGAGTGCTATCTCATTTAGTGTGTGTGTGTGTGTGTAATTTGTAATTGATTGTGTATGGGGCTGATTAGGGGAAGTCAAAGGTAAAAAGAGAGTGGAATAGCTGATATCACAAATCATGCACCTGATTCTTAGAATCGTGTTTTAATGATTCTAACGTGTGCTCAAAATTTCTATCCTCTTCAACGCCATATTCTCGTCATCTTCGTGCAATTGCCAATTGAGAAAACTACCATTCCAAGTTTGGTCAACTACAAATAGACCCCCGGTTATTGCTTTGAATTTGCTGATTTTACTATCATGTTATTGTTTGCTTATACAACCTTACGAAGCGCCTCTATAGGAAAAATTGCACCTTTCATCCACTAATTATACTCGAATTGCACTTTCGTCCTTTAATATATATTTTTATATTTTTTTATTTTTGGTACACTATCATTTTGTTTTTGCAATTTTCGTCCAAATCGAGGTTTCGGTGCTCATTTTTACAGGAAAGCTGATGTGGCGCCCAGTCGGATTGTGCGCCACATCAGCTTTTCCAGCGCCACATCAGCTTTTCCGGGAAAAATGAGCACCGCAACCTCGATTTGGACGAAAATTGCCAAAAAAATGATAGTGTACCAAAAGTAAAAAAAAAAAAAAACTAATTAAAGGAC